GGTTCAAGAGTTGGCTAAGGCTCATACATACATATCCCTCTATATCTCTCCTTTTAGGCCTTGAAAGGTTGAAGTTCTTGACCCCTTTGCATACCATCTCCTAGCACAACACCTCCACTATCAACCTAAGCACCTTGGAGCTTGTTTTCAGAGGCTAAGGAGTTGCTATTTTGGCCCAGAAGCTACTGGAGTGCTTGAGCTTCAAGGGTAACACCCTATTCCCTCTTTTGGTCTTTATTTTGCTTCATCTTTTAGCTATATTTGCAAGCATATTTGGGCTTTGTCAAAAACTAAAAAAAAAAGGTCTTATTTTGAGGTCCTTAACATGTTTGTTTAAGACCATTTTTTCTGTTGGGGGTCATCTACCCCCTTTGCATGCTTCATTTCACCTTATTTTGAGCCATGCCTTAGGGTCTTTGCATTGACCATTGTTTGGTCTCTTAGCCACTGAAATCCAGTGGATTTTCAGTGGCTAGCATGCTGTTTTGAGCACCAAAATCAGAGAGGGGTGACCCTCTCACCCCTTCTCTTGTTTACTAGCATATTTGGCCTAACAAAGGAGCCCTTATTTGCATGCTTCCAAACCATGTTTCAGGACATTTTTGGTGGGTTTTAGGACCTGCATAGGCTCTGTCTAGAGCCCTTTTTTCCATTTTGGGTGTCCATCTTGCATGTGTAGAACAACTCTCTTTATAGCCTATCAAAGGAGCCAATCATTCTTGCATGCATAGACCATGTTTCAGTGATTTTTTGGGCTTTATTTGGCATTTCATACCTCTGGCTTTTGCTGGTTTGGTGACCTCTTGATTGCCTCAAATGCTTGTAGTGCAAATCCTCTTTACTAACTTACATTGAATGCTATTTTGGCCTTTGATTCTAGCACTTGTTGGCCATGATTTAAACTGATTTTGTGCATGTTTTGGACTGCCTTAGCTCTGTTTTTATGCCTCATGCTCGAATGATGCTTGCTATGCATGGTTGTAGTTCAATATCCTTGCCTAGCTTTGAGTTTTGGAGCCTATTGCATGCTTATGTTGAGGTGTTTCCATGTTTTGGGACCATTGTGCATCATATTTCAGAGCTTACATGTATGCCATATTCCTATGTTTTTCACTCTTTAAATGCGTTTGAGAGTCGTGCTTGTATGCCTCGTTTTTAGACCATTGCATGAGCTTCATTTCCATGCCTTTCGAGCCATTATTTTAGTCCACTTTTCCCACTATCTTGGACCTGCCTAGGGTCTGTTTGGGGCTAGTTTTTCCATTTGTGCATTGCTTTGTGTACCTCTAGCGTAATGCGCTTCACTAGTTTCGGTATTCGGGCCATCTAGCATGCATTGTGTGAGGTGTTTGCATGATTCGGGACCATCTTGCATGTCATGTCAGAGCTGGAAAATGTGTGATTGTATGCCATATTTCATCCCTTGCCATGCTTTGGTAGAGTGACATTTGATGCCTTAAGTTCGGTCCCTTGCATTGGGCATGTTTGCATGAGTGTTCCTGCCTTTAATTTCATCATGATTGGCCATTGATTTGAGTGTGGCTAAGGCCCATTCATTTTAGTTTAAGTCCATCTTACATTGTGTATGCCATGTCCATGTTGTCGCATGCTTGATCGTCGCATTGTGTATGCCTTGATTACGCCTTTGTATATGTCCATCGTCATATGTGCGTTGTGTATGCCATATAGCGTCATGCACATTGAGTATGCCATTCATAGTTCATAGCATTGCGTATGCTAGTTGCACCTTTGCATGTTATTCCTTGCATGTTTGCATGTCTTAGTTGCATTTCGTTTAGGATTGCATGCTAGTTGTTGCATTGTGTTTGCATGCCATGCCATTCTAGTTGTTGCATAGTGTTTGGAGTAGGGTTTAGCTCAAACACGGAAAATGAAGGACGTTTCGTACTCAAAGTGACGAAACGTGCTTCGATTCCCGGTCGCCGAAACTCCGGATTACCCATGATGGAGTTTAGTCCTTGTTGTGTTTATATGTGTATTCATTTTACATCGAGTCGTGCAATCCGACTCCTCGGCCATTATGCATCGAGATGCGTGATTGGTGGCACGAGGATTGAGGACTACACTCCCTAGAGCTTATGCAATAACGGGGAAGAGTGGTCGTGCACACATATGTTGAAAATATTTTGCCATGCCCCTTTCTTGCTTTCTGTTGCAGCAAACCGAAAACCAACAGCAAAAATTGGTCGGTAGTATCCCTACAGCATCGTGGATTTTCAGCCTTTTGGAGTTTTGTTCAGTATCCTGGGACCAGTTGCAAACAGAGGCAAATCGGGGCATCGCGATGGATTTTCCGGCAAGGCGACTCGAGCATGCATGCATTCCTTGTCATTCAAGACCGAGCTGAGGCAGTCCATTTCATGTGTTTTGCATGCAAGCTTATTCATTTTAGTTAATTTGTTAATTAATTAGAGTTGTGTAATAATTAGCTGTAATTCGTTATTCATTCGATTGTGTATTATTTATTCAAACCCTCCGAGGAGGGCAATGTTGTAATAAGTGTGCGTGTGCGTGTGCGTGTGTGTGATGTATGTCTTCCAACCCCACGTCTTTCTCTCTTTTATTTACCAGCTTATGATGGTTAGTTTTAGGTCACGTTTAAATTAGCATCCTTATGCTCGTATGTTTGCATCCATTCATTTGTTTTGCATGCACCGGGCTCGGAGCATCATGCTAACTGCATTGTATTCCAATTCCAAGTTGAATACATGTATCGATTATTGCGTCTCATATGCCATCTTAGAATAGCCGAGCCTATTGTAGTTGCATTTTTGCATGTGTTGCATTAGACATCTCAGCATAGTTAAGATTCATGCATGTTTTCTAATTAGCTTCTTTTTTTTGCTCGGAGTACTCGGTAAGTGTTTATACTTTAGCATCCTTGCATGCGTGTGAGTGACTGCCATGATTGCATGCTTACCATGAGGCTATGTGCTTATGTGATATAACTGCCCGAATGCCTGTGGGTGAAGGGTGGGTTGCTTGAGTTGGAATAATTCATCGAAAATCGTGTTTTAGCCTACTTGCGAGTAACAAATTTCAATCCATTTTCAAAACAAACGGATATGCGATGTTTTGTTCCAACTCAAATGATCCAGTCTATACTTGTATGTTGTGTGCATCACATAATAATTCTAGGCTAATAACCGGAATAAGAGCACATAATGTTTTCAAAACTCGATATCATGGTTAGTAGAGACCGATCTTTGATCGGGCGAGCGGGGGTGCTCGCGAAGTGACCTTCCCCAATCGCAACCAAGTTCCCGAGCCGAGGCAACTTTGGTAATGACAGACACGTGGCCTTAGGCACGAGTCAGGGTTTCCTAAATTCCTCCAAAATAAAATATTTAGGTGGCGACTGTTTGATGATTCATCGGTCTTGCATTGCACTCTGAGAGATTAGATAAAGGACCGTGACATTGAGTCCTGAATTGTAGTAAACCCAAATGAACAAAACGGGATCCTCCCGGGACGTTCGGGGACATCTACAAGTTGCTTCTAAACAGATTTCTCTTTCTTATATTCTTTCAGTTGATCAGGTTGCTGACATTTTCACTAAGCCTCTGTCTTCTTCTCAGTTTCATTATCTTAAGGACAAACTAATGGTGCTTCCCAGCCCCATTGGTTTGCGGGGGAATGATAAGAGTATTGATGAAGACTCATCTCAGTATCAACAGCTCAAGCTCAAGCCAGACTTATCTCAGCATCAGTAGCTCAAGCTCAATGCACGAGTGCAGCCAATAGAGAAGCCAACATACACCTTAGCTCACCCATGTGATAATAGATATGGTTATGGTTAGTTATATTGTTAGTTAGTTAGATTGTGAATTAGTTAGTTTGTTTGGTAACAAACTCAGTGATAATACACTGAGTATAGTACACTGAGTATAAATATTTGTAGACTCTCATCAAATTAAAAAAGTAAGAAAGATATTTTCATAAATTCTATTAAGCACCCATGTACATGTCAACGTCATTAATTTTCATAGACTTCAATTTGCTAATCGAAAAGGGTTAGAGAATATGTCGCACTATGTGGAAAACCAAGTAGGCAGCACCAACAAAAGTAAGTGAAAAACAATTTGTATTTGTGGTAGGTTTTCCACCACACGTTATATGTTTTCTCCCACTAAAATGGACTAATAATGTCATATAAATGAAAATATATATATGGCTGTTTATGATTTTGTTATTATGATTCATAATTTTAAAAATGTCACTATATAATTTTTTTTTCTCAATTAGTTTTTGATTAAAATATAAATGATACGTTTAAACTCTTGAACGACAATTAATTCACTAATAATTAATAATTATTACACAGTTGGACGCTTACTAATTATAAGATAGGATTATTAAGCACTCAAATTTCAGCATAAAAAAACAAACATGCATCTGCATATTGACTTTTGAGAATAATAAATTATTAAAGGAAAAGCTGCAGGCTTGGCTGTGGCTGAGACTGCCTTGTGTCTATGTTCAACTTATCATCTTGTTCATCATTTATCTTATCATAATCTCCTACTTGATACAAATAAGTTTTTTTTTTTTGGGTGAATAAACTTTATACAAATAAGTTATTCCTTTGAAAACAATTTATATAATATCAAAACATACTATAGATCTTGTGTTAATTTTTGCTGACTATGAAATGAGCACTTATGCAAAACATACTATAACAATAATGTAATAATGCATTTTTGATAAATAAAAGTCATATTCATAGATATTTTATTTTAAAGTAAAAGGTCAATTTTAAACTATATGTAAACTTTTTATTTGTATAGTTAGATGTATTGTTCTTCTTTGTGTTGCATTCGTGGTATGTTCTTACTTTTGATTTGTTTCATCCTTTTGTCTTCATGTTATCTTATCTCTTATGATAATACCATGACATTTAAGGTCCATTTCACACAACAATTAGTTATCAACCTAATTTTTCTTCACAAAATCTTAATGCTATCATCATGAATATAATTTACAATTTTGCCACTGCTATATTATTCTAAAAATAAATTTTGTAGAAAAATTTGAAGTATTACATTTTTCTCTTTTTTCAAAGGAGCGAAAGAGTACCATTGACATTGGACATCACAAGCCAAATTTAAGCTTTTGTTCTTAAAGTACAACTAAAAGTTAAACTTGGATCGTTTTCACGCAAAAGCACGTTAGTGTTGAGTGCAGTGAACACCATCAAGGAAAGGAAAACTATAACAGAGAGCACGGACAACACAAGCATTAATCCGGGTGCTACGATGCCTTTGACTTGCTTAGCATACTCGACCGAGGCTAGGGCAAGAAAAGTTAGTGGAAATGAGTAAGCCCACCATACAACGTTGAACCTTCTCATTGATTTCTTGAAAAGTGCTGGTCTGCAAGCCTGTTTATATAGAGCAAAAGGGTTGGTGAATGGTTAAAACACGATTCAACTAGGATTGTAAACATCAGTCAATATATGTTCGCGTTCGGTAACGTTTACGCTTTTTTATTTATGTTTATAAAAATTTTATAAATTAATTTTTATTTATTTTTAAAAAAACAAAAATTATAAACGCATTTGGTTAGAATAAAATATTTGAAAAATTTTAAATACATAAACTAAAAAATATATTTGTTCAGGCTTAAAATATTTATATTTATTTTTTATTATTTATGACAATGGGATCATGCACATTATAATTGAAAAAAAAAATTACTTGAAAAAAATTTGTGTTAGTCAAATTTTTAAATTTTTGCTTAAAAATCAACGTAAACTGATTTTTTGAGTTTACATTTTTTTCTTAAATTTATAAACTAAGACAACCATTTATAAACTAAAAAAATTATCAAATAAGTTTTTATGACAATTTTTTAAATTTTTGTAAACATAAATTAAAAACTAAAAACGAAATGGCTACCAAACAGGCCCATTTTAGACTTTTGATACTAATATACCAATCAATATTATCTAATATTGATCGATATATGAAAAAATATTAAGACATAAAAAGTTTTCTTGCTAGAATGTCTAAATTAAGAACTCGTTTGTTTTCAGAGGTAAAATAGAGAAGATTAATAGTGAGGGGATTGTTAGTAACGGGATTGATAGTGAGAGAATTAAGTAAAATTATATTTGTTTTGATGATAGTGAGAGAATTAAGTAAAATTATGAGAGATTGTTAAATTATTTTTATATAAAATAATAAAACAAATTAAAAAAATATAAAAACATTAATGTTAAAAAAATGCCCAACATGTAAAAAATAAAAAATAAAATAAAATAAATAAAATTATGATTTTTACTTAACAAAAAATACAAAAAATTAAACATTAATATTAAAAAAAGAAAAAATTAGTCCGACAGACTATTTTCTAATACCAAGCCCCAAGCCTCAATTCTAACCCCCTCGCCAAGGCACATCCTAACCCAGAGGGGATTCCATCTCCCAAAATAAACACAATATTAGTGGGTTCTACCTCAATCTCAATTCCAATCTCGATCCTTTTTCTATTTTCCAAAACAAATGAGGCCTAAAAGATTGTAGTCATGGGTCTCTGAGGCATGCTACAAATGAAGAATTTTTTTAGGATAATTTACAAACACACCCCTTGAGGTTTACTTAAATTACAAATTATCCTCTGTGGTTCTAGAAATTACATTATGTCCCATAAGGTTTCTAATTTCATAACAAATATGTCATTTTATTTATAAATTATTAAGTTAATTAACAGTTTTTAATAATGTTAAAATTTTATTTCAATTAATAATTCAGATAATTTTATTATTGTATGGGTAAACAGTTAGAAATTTCACTTTTTCAATTAATTCTGTTAAATAAAAAATTTTGACAGGAGGTATTTATAATTTTTCAAAATACAAAGAGCAATTCGTATTTTAAATAAATCTCAAAGTATGTATTTATAATTTACCCCTTTTTTTTATAGTGTGCACAGCTCTGTTTAATTCAATTAACATAGTGGTTAACTTCCAAAGTCATTTGCCCATCCTTTGTGGAAATTTGTTTTTTTTATAGTGTGCACAGCTCTATTTAATTCAATTATCATAGTGGTTAACTTCCAATGTCATTTTCCCATCCTTTGTGGAAATTTGTTTTTTTTCAAATAAGGAGCTTCTTTCAAGCCGACCATAAGTTGTAAAACACTCCTTTCCTTTTTGTCCCCCTTTTCAAAGGAGCTTCTTTCAAGTCCTGCAATTCACTACCCAAAAAAAAAAAAAAAAGTTTTAGAGGCTAAAATTTAGAAATAAAATTATTTTTTAGGAATTAAATAATTTTTTTATAAAAAAGAGTCGTTATTATATTTTTAGCAACAAAAATTAGACATTAGTAATGAATTATTATCCTTTTGAAATATAATTTTTTGTCTCAAAAAATAAATCATTTTGAGAGAAAATTATTTTATCCCTAAAAGTCTATTTATTAGTAACATTTTCAAAATTTTGTCGCTAAAAGCATTGTTTTTTACTTTTCGGGACAACTTTTTAGCCACTACCCTCATGACGATAGAAATTAATCCCTAAATATCTTTTGCAACAAAATTTTTACTTTTAGATATCAAATTTTGATCTTTAAAATTATTATATGTTTTAGTTGGACTGGAGAGTTGAGAGGCGAGGTTATACTTTGTTGGCTCACTCTGGCCGTACCATTAATCAGAATCATCTAATTTTTAATGCGGATCAGGTAAAATAATTTATTCTCAAAATCATATAATTGAATGACATTTATTTTAAAAATGAAATTTTATTTTTAAAATAAATGAAATCTAATTCCATAAAAATTGAGATCACAGAAATAAGGTAGGAGTGGACCCACAACCTATCACTACAACATATAAGAATTTTAAAGATCAAATATTTTGGTCTCTAAAAGTAAAAATTGTGTTACAAAAGGCATTTAAGAACTAATTTCTATCGTCATAAGGATAGTCGCTAAAAAGTCGTCCCAAAAAATTAAAAAAAATAAGATTTTTTTAGTGACAAAATTTTGAAAATGTCACTAATAAATAGGCTTTTATGAACAAAATAATTTAATCTCAAAATGGTTTATTTTTTGGGATAAAAAATTTGGTCCTAAAAGGATATTAATTCATCACTAATGTTCAATTTTTGTTACTAAAAATATAATAATAACATTTTTCGCAACAAAAATATTTAGTCCCTAACAAATAATTTTGTCCCTAAATCTTAATCTGTAAAATCTTAATTTTTTTTTGGTACTTGTAGGTCCTAATAAGTGAATTTATTGTCTAATAGGTCCTATAAAAAAATTTGTCATAAAAAAAATCACTAATTGTAAGTTTTAACAACAATTTATAGAAATCATAACAAAAAAAGGTCACTAATTCTCAATTTTTATCGACATATAAAAAATAGTCACAAAAAAATTATTTTTAACGACAATTTTACCAAGACTTATTTTCAATAGGACTTGATGAGAATTAAATCCAATCATTAAGACATATCGATAGTTCACTCAATTTTTTTTTGTAACGTATGAGTTTAGAGTAGGCCCACAACCTATGATCACCGTTTATTTTTTTATTTTTACTTGCATATAATGAGTGTCAAATTATAATTTTAAATATCGATCCATACCAACGGTATCGTCATCAGATATGATATATTGTATTACTGAATATGTATCAAAATTTTTTATTTTCAATACTAATATTTATTAATATATCGATTGGTAATGTCTGATATTAGCTATTACTTGTTATTTAAAACCACACATCATAAAATGCAATGCAAAATTACCAGAGAAGTGAAAAGGAAGAGGGAGAGAAAGAAGAGCATTTTGCATGGTGTGTCAAAAGTCCCACAGATAGAGTTCCAAGCCAAGCTCCCTATGCTGGGAGCAGCCACGAACAAGAAGAAAACCGGCCGGAGCCTCACCGGAAGTCGATGACTGCCTGATAACCGCTGATAAAGAGCAATAAATACCACCAAATAATGTGCAGCTCCAAGTGTAAATGTACACATAGCACTCTCTCTCCACCCCATCTCTGCCGCGGCCCAAGCTCCAACCAAGTTTCCTATCACCGATATCTGACTCGTCGGGTTCGCAAACACAGACAAAAACCGCTTCTCCGTCGTGAACCACTGTCCATATATCTTCAAATCGAGAGCTATCACTGGAACGATGAATACCCACCATAGGATTTGGTAGGAGACGGTGTTTGGGACGATGAACGGTGATGATTGAAGCAAAAGAAGCCAGGATATCGAGGGAGCAAAGAGGTAGTTGACGCCAACGTGGTGAGAGAACTCAGATTTCACCATAGGGAAGTGAAAGAAGCATCGGAGGAGGTAGAGAAGAGAAAGTGTGACAAGAGTCGATAAAGCGAGCCACCAGATGAGGAGGAAGGCGGTGGAAGGGAGGATGTGAAAGACAGCATGGAGAGCACGAATGTCGTTGGCGTGCTCGATTAGGGCTTTCCATAAGAGAGCTTGGCTGCCCAGGGAGAGGCTTATTCTAAAGTAACCTGCATGGAGGGTGGTTAAAATGGAGAAAAGTGATGAATGCTTGGTGGTGGTGGTGGTGGTCGTTGTGGTGATAGAAGCATCTATTACAATCTTGATTGGTGGTTGAGAAGCTTCATTCTCCATTGGAAGAAGGACAATATTAAAAAGTGTGGTTTTGTTGTATGAGATGATTTGTGTTAGTTTTACACCATAAGAGGTGCATATATAGGTGACATAAGGTGTGAGATAGAGAGCATATTTTTAATAGCATCGATGTTCAAGTCTAAAAATTAAATTTATTTTTTAAGTTTAATGATATGACAATTAATTATGATATTTAAGGTAATACTCTTTTATATTTTCTTGTAATCATCAATCAATCATATTACTTACACATGTCTAGAAAATAGATTTAAAAAATAGATTTATATATCATTTTTCTATTTTTAAATATTATTCACACAGGCTATGCTAGATTCTGTGTAAATTTTTTTAATTTTAATTTTTTAATATATGTAGTCACAAAATTACATGTATAGGCTGATTTTTGATAGTATTGATTTCTATACAATTTGTGAGCTAATTTATAACTTAAATGATTGATTCACGATTGATACTAAAATGTTCAACTATTATAAAATTGTGTGTCCCGTTACACTATAGTTATACCAATAAGTAATATTTTGAAAATTGGATCGGATCGGCCAGTTCAACTGGTCAAATTGTCGACCAATCTATGGTCCGGATATATCCTCTTCAAAATCAGTCATTTTAAGTAAAACCGGTGAGAACCGCAGTTAAACCGCTAAACCCGGTCCGATTTGATATATTTGGTCTAATATTGAAAAATCTAATGTTAAAGAGACTTGAACCTAACACCTCAAACTCCAAGGAACTTGAATTTCTACTCTACCACCACCATGATACCTTGTTAATTTGTAGAAAATATATAATATTAATTGTATTCAAACCAATTTCCCTCAAACACATATATAATATTAATATAAAAATATATATAAACATATATATTTGATGAATATATATATATATTAAATTATAAATATATTTTTAATGAATAATTTTATTTATTTTTAAATTATAAAAATATTTATAAAATAATTATGACATTACAATTTTATTCCAATTCAATCTATCCGTCTATCCAATTTTTTTTCCGATACCCTCACCAATCTAATATTTAAAACACTACCAATAAGATGTTGATATTAATATTTAAAACCTTGAGAGAGCGGATAGACAAAAAATAAAAAATAAAAAAAATTAGGTTTGCAACTTTATTGGTGTGGAAGCCACTCGTGTTTTTTGGTGCATCGGAAAAAGGCATCTATATTGGGTGCGGAAACCACTCAAGTTGAAAGACAAGAAACAGTTTCGAATCGTAGCTCAAAAACACTGTAGTTTGAATTGGCTCGAATCTTAAAATGGTGTTGTTTTGCTATTTTGTTTTTGGAAAATGTTTCGTAACTCAAATTTTGTGGCTCAAAAGTGACTCAAATGGCCAAGAAGAAGAAGAAGAAAGGAGGAAGAAGAAAGAGATCAATCCAAATCAAAAACAGGGATCTGCAACAACAACACTGAGATCTTTTCATCAAACAACAAAAAAATTACCCTGAATATTTTGTAAACACAGAGATCAGTGACCAAAAAAATTTCTTCATCAAACCCGAGTTCATCTTCATCATCAAAAACACAAAGATCTTCATCAATATCAACATCTTCATCAACAACAACACAGAGATCATCTCCAGATCAAAAAAAAAAAAAACAGATCGGTGATGGCAGATCAAAAAAAAAATAGATAAAAAAAAACAGAGATCTTCATCATCTTCTTCTTCAGATCATCATCTTCAAATCAACATCATGATCTTCAGATCGGTACACCTTCATCAACAACAACACAGAGATCATCTCCAGATCAAAAAAAAAAAAACAGATCGGTGATGGCAAAAAAAAAAAACAGATAAAAAAAAACAGAGATCTTCATTATCTTCTTCTTCAGATCATCATCTTCAAATCAGCATCACCATCTTCGCCGGTTCCTCTTCTTTTCTTCTCCTCTTCTTTCTCTCTTCCTTTTTTCTCGTTCTCTCTCTCTCCCTCTTTTCTGTCTTCTCTCTGTGTATTCTGATTCAAAAAGCAAGAGAGAAAAAAAAAGAAAAATGTCTCGTAACTCAAATTTTGTGGCTCAAAAGTGATTCAAATGGCCAAAACGATGTCGTTTTGGCCATTTTTATGTTGTTCTGTACTTAAAATGACGTCGTTTTGGCCATTTGAGTCACTTTCTCTCTCTTTTCTGTCTTCTCTCTGTGTATTCTGAATCAAAAAGCAAGAGATAAAAAAAAAAGGAAAATGTCTCGTAACTCAAATTTTGTGGTTCAAAAGTGACTTAAATGGTCAAAACAACGTTGTTTTGGTCATTTGAGCCACTTTTGAGTCACAAAATTTGAGTTACGTAGCATTGTCAAAAAAAAAATCAAAATTCAAAACGACGTCGTTTTAGATTTCGAGCCGAATTTGACCCACCAAATTCAAGCTACGGATCATTTTCCAAAATGAAAATACCTAAACTCAGGCCGCCAGTGACTTTTTTTAGTTAAAAAATTAATAATTTATATTAAAAAGTTAAAAAAAAATTCTCTTTATTTTTTACACATCTTTTTATAAAAAAACAAAAAATTATTCCAAATATATTAATTTTTTTAATTCATATTTTAATTAAATAATTAAAAAATTACTAAATTAGTCTGTTTTGAAACAATGCCTCAATTACTCACCTTGAGGGACCTCCCTAGTCAGCAATTGCCTAGGTGAGGTATTCTCATGGGTCCCGCTATATTTTCTCATGTGCTCAAAAAATTACTCACCTTTATTTTTTTTGAACATAAAAAAAAAAATTACTCACCTTGACTTTCAAAGACATGAAAATACCCCAACTCAATTTGCCCCTAACTAAAGCAAGCTAGCTTGCTTGTACCTAGAGGAGAGTGGGAGAATTTTTTTATAATAAAAAAAAATAATAATAAATAATAATAATAATAATAATAATAATAAAAAAAAAGCTGGTTTACATGGACATTAAGGTTGAGTGGCTCATATCAATAAATGTTAAAGATTTACATTTTATATTTATAAATATATTTATAATAATGTGATAAGAGTGATAAATCTCACATTATTGAGTATTTAATCAATTAAAAATTGACATTTATAAAATTATATAATTATAGATTGAATTATGAAAAATTTATAAGAATATCAAACATTTTCCAACTTATATGAGCCTTGACAAGGAAATTGTGAAACTTCCTCACACCTATATGTCAGATCCACACAATTCACTCTCTCTTTCTCTCTCTCTCTCTGGAGTGATTATTTGAAAATTTCAAATAATTATTTTACACTATTTATTATTTGATACTTGCCAAATTATTTATTAAAAACTCAATAAAAGCTACTTGGTCCCATTATTTTAACCAATAACTATCAAGTTGAGCATCATGTGTTATTGCTCCAGGAACAAAAGATAATTTCTTCTCTCTTTGAGTGCGTTTGTTGTGTGTTGAGCATCGGATTTTACAATTGTCATTTTAATAAACTTTTTTACTAACTGTTTAAAAAAATTGTCAATAAAATTCAAGTGACCTCGAGTCACAAATTCAATTTAAAAACTTTTGAGACAATAATCTCTAGCAATAATCTTTTATGGCATGTTTGATTGGGTAGATTAGATCTTGGGATGGGAATTATTAATCCGTGAGCTTAATTATCCTATGTTTGTTTTAGCATTTTGGTTTAGGATTATTAATCTAATGGATAATTAATCCAACAAATTTGTAGGATTATTAGTAATAGGGTAGGGATGGGATTATTAATCCAATAAATATTAATCCAATTAGATAATGGATACCACACTAATTTAATAGGATTATTAATACTTTACTATTAATTTTGTGAATCAAACATGATCTTAGAGTCATAAGAGTCATAACAGTTTTGAAAGGTCATATTACCCTTCTTTTTATCAACAAAAGAAACTTTTATTAATGAAAAAAAGAAACGAATACATCAATAAAAACAATGATGTGGGAGAATAGTATTATAACGAAATAAACCAATTCCAATTAAGTTAGCACTAGAATAGATGTCCAATCATTTGCTATAACCCATCAAAATTGCTGAGTGACCAACCAGACCAGCAAACGAAAAATACAAAACAAAAATACAAAACCCACAAGCCCAAACCCAACCAACCATACTGCTACATAGGGACACCATACAACAAACAATAATGCCAACACAGCTAGGCTTCAGATTCAGCCATTAGTTTCCAACCTATCAACCATTAGTTTCCAAGTTTGTTTCCTGTGTAGGTTGGCTCCTAGAGGCAGCCCAAGATGCTTCAAGGGAAGACCTATCTATTTATTTGTCCACTATAATATACCTATTGATCCATATCACCACCGACAGCCACTATCAGCAGTCGACCAGCTCCAGCGAATTTTTTGTTACCGATGGCAGTGGTAAATATATATATATATATATATATATCTTTCAAAACAATACTTTGTTCTTTTCATAAAAAATTTAAAAAAAAAAATCACTAATCATGTATTTACTGTTGGACAATCTTCATTGTATTTGAAAAATAAATTCTGTTTGTATACTTAACAACAAACAGAATACAGAAGAAATAAAGGAAATGAGAGAGTTTGTTTGATTATAAAAATCAAACCAGAAAATATAATAAAATAAATAAAATAGATTTTTATTTGTTACTAAAACAAAATCAAAATCTGAAACAAGAAAAAAAATAAAACAGAAAATAAATTAATTACTTACCAAATTAATTTATTGAACAAATTTTCTGATCAAGTCTAGTGTTTAACACTGTGTCCTTAACAGATTCGTTCTCTCCACGGTGCTTTCGGAATGTAAATATCTATCTCTCAGGATAAAATGATCAACAACAAACAATAGAAACACTACAAATTATTTGCACAACGAACACACTAAGTGTTTACACTCACACTTTTGCTCACAAGAAAACAATGCAGCAAAATGTAGAGAATAATTGCAGAATATTTTGGACGAAATTGGAGTGAAAAACCAAGTGAGAGACTTGTCTATATATAGGTGTAAATGTGACTTTTCATTTTG